CTAACCCCATGTTGTTCAAGGGTCAACTGTATTTTCTGTATTAATCAAAATGGTCAGGAAGATACTTTGCATGAGGCAAAGGAGTAGATTTAAATACTCTTAGAGGACTTCTTAAAAAATGACCCACTCAAGTCTTGAAAAGATCTGGCCAGTTCCGCAGAGAATGCTGGCCCTCCGCACCCTCGCGCCCTTCTCGGAAGAGCCGAGCTCCTGCCTCCCTCCGCCTGGCGTGGCTCTAGGTCCCAGGGAGGGACTAAGACGACGCGACGGTCAGTTTGAACAAGGAAAGGGTTAAAGAGCAGAAAATGTTCAGTAGTCCTTTGGGGAAGGATCCTGCGTAACATTTTATTGGCCTAATGGTGTGTTAAGCATCATATAAACCTTCTACAAGGTAAAATTTAATGACCGGTGTGTTATTGCAAAAATCTGCTTTTTCGTGAGAAACTAAATTTGAATTTCTGTAGCCAACCATTATGGCTGTGGCAGAACCGATATGGTCTGTTTATTGGATAATGAGGGTTGGCAAAATGTGTCCAAGAACAAAAAGGAGTCTCTGCAAATTGCCTGGGGTGGCTGCAAAACCCTTCAGTAAAAACAAGTACAGGACACATTCCCGAATAAAGTGCAGCGGCTTTGAAAGCACAGTTATCCACCAAGTAAATAGTACCTTTCAAAGAGCCTAAATATTTATTGACCTTCCAGAATGACTTGGAAAATTATTGTAATTACCATTAAATAGAATGGGTTAGTTTATAAAACTTAATATATAAAAATGACTCTGTGTTCTGTAAGTGAGTGAAATACAGGGGTGTGTTGGTAAGAGCACTGAGATCTGAACCCCAAATTCTCCAAATGCGATCTTGTTCCAGATGCTGCGGGTTTGTAGCCATGAAAACGTCTTATTAACTCCCAATCAGTGCCCCGGCATCAGTGGTCAAACGTTGGCGGTGGGACTGGGATGCAGCAGGTAAGCCAGGACTCCCACTACGTCACATCCTGACCCCCCTCCTTACAGCCAATAACCATGCAAATGAGCCAGCGAACCGGCATCATCCTCGCTTTTGCAAATTATTATTCCAGGTACTACGCCACCCCTTCCCCTGCCCTTGCCAATATATACGGAATTGCTATGCAAACAACCACAAAACAAACCCGCGGACCTTGCAAAGGCTCAGAAACAAATGTGCAACAACTTACACGCCTCCAACAGGAGCCAGTTTGTTTCCCAGACACCAGAAATACACCTACTGGAAAGTGAACCTTCTCGACAGCGTGTGTCTGAGCGCGTCTCACGTAAATCCACATATGCGGTGCATTATAAAGGGTCTCATTTCTCTCTCTTGCTAAAAATAAAAAGGCACCGTCCTGCCTCCCAAATGAAGCTATGTTCTCACGGCTCTTTCGGGGGCGCCGGGTACACTGATCACTCTCGCTGCCTCCCCGCCGCCAGCCCCCCATCTCTCCTCAGGGGTCACCCGCCGTTCTCTTGCCCTGTCTGCCCGGAGGCCCTTCCCACTCGCTGCCCAAACCGCACCAGCACCGCACCGTGGACGCCGCTTTGAAACAGTCCAATCCGACAGGACAGTGTCTTTTTCTTCAATCCTGTCCTAATTGTTAAAGGCGCTCAACACTTCGTAAATGCCTAGCATCTTTCCCACAGGTTCTTTGAGGCCAGGGGCGTGGCTTTTTAAAATTGGTATTTTTTTGCCCGGCCAGGCGTGGCTCAGCGGTTGAGCATCGACCTAGGATCCAAGCGTTCAGGGTTCGATTCCCAGTCAGGGCTCATGCCCGGGTTGAGGGATGCAGCTGATCAATGACTCATCATTGATGTTTCTATCTCTCTCTCTCCCTCTCCTTTCTTCTCTCTGAAATCAATAAAGATATATTTAAAAAAAAAAAATTTGTATTTTTTAAAATCTTTTATACGGCTGAGCACCCTTCGGCCTGTCGTAAATATTCAGCAGATCATCTTAGTTGGTAAAAATGACTGAGGGTGTCCGACCCCGGCCAGCTGCGTGCCTGCCTGTCCCAGAGCCGAGCACCTGACGCGTGGGTCGCGGGAGGAGGACTGACCCCGGTGCCGCGGTTTTCGACACAACACAAGTTGTGATCCTCTGGGCAACGGAGCCTCGGCGTCACTGCCCTGCTCTCTTACTACTGCGGAGAAAGCACGCCTTCCACCATCCGCAGAGGCCCAATTCTGCTCAAAATCCCGCACGCAAAGATCGTCTCTGAGAAATCAGCACCTTCAGGCTCCCCGGGAGAAACTGGGAGTTAAGGTTAAACTTGGAATGAAACGGCAGCTGAGGAAGCAACGCTCAAAACCGGAGGAACTCGCACGGCCGGCCCACGATCTGCTTTCTTTCCATTTCCCAGCCCCGCGTGTTCCCATCCTGACCGCGAGGGGGCGGCTGCACCCTACTTTGGTGAAATAGTGTCTCAGCCCGTCCTGGTGCTTAAACCATGGGTCTATCCGGGGTCAACGACGTTTATATCTATTTATTCCGGGTTCTTAAGAAATAAAGACTTTGGCAGGAGACAACCAAAATAATTCTGAGCACCTCTGAACGAGGGAAGGGAGCACAAGACAAACAAAGGCAGCCGCAACTCTCAGCACGGAGGAAGTTTTATTTAAAATTTTCATAAGGAATCATACAGCATCTATGCTGTAATGTCGGGGC